CCAGCTCCTACTCACATCTGACCCTCTGGTCACTGTGTGTGTTGTGGGCTTTCTCTTTACTTTAAACTCTCTAGAACAAATTCAACATACATTTGTGGAGCACCCATGATGTGCAAAGCCCTGTGTTAAGCTCCAGGGGAGATCATTAGCTATACAAGACTCAGTTCCTTCCTTCAAAATGCTCGTTCTCCAATACAGTATATAACTAGCCATATGGCAGGGTGAAAGACAGATGAGGTGAGAATGACCAACTGTGGTAAGCGCAGAGGAAAGAGATTTCTTTGCAATTGGGGGTGATGGTGCAGAGATGGGAGGATTCAGACTTGCTCATGCTCCTTCATCTATAAGTGTAGCCTCCTTATTCCTAGTGAAAGATTTGCCAATGACTCCCTACTCCCAATACTGAACCCTTTCCCTATACAGAATTATCTTAGCAAACACGTATAAGACCATTGGTACCCAGGGCTGGCTATCTGACAAGCTTAGCCTCTGATTTCCAGCCCCTTTTTTCTTAATGAAAAATAATGGCATACTGAGATGGCAAAAAGAGGAAAACCTTATATAAAGAAATTGATCCTTATTGTTTCTTTACATGTAAATAACATATAGCTTTGTCGTGTTCAGGCTTAACAGTTAACATTCATTATTGCATGTATCTATGTGATTTAAAACTGCATACCTGAGATAGTACCCTGTGAGTTTTCCAAGCAAAACCTGCATCCTTCTGGCCTCTGGAAATGAGCCTAATCAGAAATAAAATAAATCAAAAATTTAAAATTAGAGGTATTTTTATGATCAGTACCTCAAGGAATTATATTATAAATAAAACAAATACAGGCTTGTTTCTCTTTCCTTACATAAATAATGGTTTCTGAGTGAGATTTTAAATTGAAATTTTTTTTTAAGAAAAATAATAACACATACAAATAAAACTCATGAGGTCACATGAAAAATGAACGGTCTTAAAATACTGATATGTTTGCTATTTCAATCCTTATTTTAATCAGAATCTCCTGAGGAAGCTGCCCCTGGATTTCTCAGGGTTGCCTCAAAACACGCAGCACCAGTCACTGTGCTATGCATTGCTTAGGCCCCAGAAGTGACTGGTTTTGCGCTTTCCTACAAACACTAAATTTCACAGTAAGACCCTGTCTTTAAAAAAAAAAAAAAAAATTGTTCTTTTAAACGCGTGCACATGTGTGCACACACACATATGCACACATGTGATAATCAAAAGAATTTAGAAGTTCTTCTGGCAAAAGTCTATAGGAAATGCTCAGTTTTGAGCAAAAAGTTATAAACAACAGCTACATACCACCCCCTAAAAGAAAGAAAATTTCTTCTAGCATGCTTTGAACCTTAAACAGTGTTTTTATAGGCCGACTCATTGTTTTTCTTCTCTCTGAAAAATTAAAACGATAACTGTTATGATGAGTTCTGCAGAAAAAGACAATTTCCATGATTCCATTTCTTGACAAAGAGCAGCTACTTCACTTGGTTTCTGCCACATGTGAGCAAACTCCCAGACATAAAATCTCCCCTCAGAGGAATCAATATGGGGCCACAAAACTATCTTGAGGTCTGCCCTGTCTGACCACGGGAAACCTCCCTCCTTCCTGCGAGAGCTGGACATGTCGGAGGGGCGAGGTGTGGGAGGAGAGATAGTGACCGTCCCCTACGTGCGTGAAGCCCACGCTGTCGCAGAGTCTCTCGGGGTGGCTTCTGCCCCCTCACCACTAGCTCTGGATTGCCTGTCCAAAAATATAAAAAACAAGGAGTGCCTGTCTTTTATAATGTTCTGTTTTAAAAGAGAGAAATCTCTGGGGAGAGAACAGGACCCTAAAAGTCCAAGGCCTGGAATTCCTCCTTTCTCTCTTTCCATTTTAAACAGGAAACATTCACGCTAAGAGAGTCCAGAGGGAGCGTTGGTTGTATGTTCATTTTAAGGCAGATAATGTTTGTGTGTTGCAAATGTCAGTGATTTATCCTAAGGGCTTTAAATGAGTGCAGAAAAACCACATGTTTTACTTCATGCAGAGAAATATCTTCAGTGGATTTTGAGAGAAAGCATAGGTTAAGAATTTTTTTAAAGTGTGTCGGAAATCTCCAACATGAACCAAAAGGAAATAGAAATGAGCGTGGTGGGGTGGAGGGGACTTTAAAAATTCTTATGATAAAAGATATAATGAATGCTGGAAGTTTTCTAAATCAAAAATGTAATTCTAAAGGAAAGGGAAGGTGAAATCCAGATCCTTGATTTCCTATGGCTGGAGTGACAGATTATGCATTTATGCTCTATTTGTCATGGGCAATTTAAAATAGAGCAAACTGCATTGAATAATAGCAGCTGATGCCATAATAACTTGTATGCAAACAATTTAATTTTTTTTAATCTGAAAACTCTATCTAAATTACCCCAAACTCAAGGAGCTATTTTTCATTGTTATACATAGCCAAATTAAGACAAAAAAGTAGAGAGAATTCTATTGTTTATCCTTATGGATGTGTTCACAAGCTGCTTTCCACGTGCGCTCAAGCTCGGAGGTTGTCAAATTTTCACTGATTTGGGCAACTTACAGAGCTGTTTTAATTTCCAACTCCACAGATTACAGGGTGATTTTGACCCTCATTGACAGTGCTTGATTAACCACAGACACCGTATTCTTACAGCCCTGTCATTTCTTTCAAGTGTCTTAGCAGTTTGTACTCTGACATTGGAAAGATTTTCCTTAATTTTTATTGTTGCTGTTTTCCTTTTTAAAAAATTATAAAAGGGGGAGTGGTAAAAAATGGGAAGGATCTGGAGCCAGTGGTGGTGGTAAATGTGTGCACAGAAGGTTTATGGGATTTTAAGAGCTGCAAACAGAACTCATCTGTTTAACCCCAGGCTAGATAAGATGCAGTCATCTGCACATTGTTTAGAGACGTATTGCTTCTGTTACGGCAAATGGATCAGAAGAGGCTTGTTGTCTTTAGGAGAGAGATCAGACAGGGCCACTTCTGTTAGTGTTTATTCTTGCCCTGGATGTTTCTAGGTGCCTACCCATAGCACAGCACGACTTACAGCTGGTTTGGTTTATCCCCACTCTGCTACTGGCCTGGTGGTACTTGCTGACTTAGCAGTAGAATTAATTACATCAAAGCTCTAGGTGGGTAATTCCCAGATCGAGGTTGGGACTTTTCTAAGGACTACAGAGAGTGGGGAGCACACAAATCCACACAGGGATGTGGCAGCAGCCAACCAGAGTCAGACCAAGACTGCAGCCCATTGGAAAAGCACCTCACAGATCTAGAAGGGAAGTGAGTGCAATCCATGGGGACTTCCTGACTGCAAATAACCTGTACATTTCCTCCAGCATGTCTGAAACAGGCTTTGTGGAAGCCTGTCCTGGACAGGAGGGCAGGAAAGGGGAGGGGTCTGATGAGCGCACCTTAAGAGAGCCAAACTCCAATAAACAAGTAATAAAGAAATTGGTGCCAATAATCGAGGTACTACTATGCCAAAAACCTAATAGAGGTAGCACTGGCTTTGGGATCAGGTGGTAAGTGACAATGAAACTATTATATGCGGCTAGAAAAATGGGGGTTCATTTTATGTACTAGTAATATATTTGGTAAAAAAAAAAAAGTTGCCTATGATAATTCGGAGACAGAAAATCTACCTAATGAACTTGTGAATTTAGGCAAGCAGGTTTCAGGCTAGAATATTAAAAAAAATGAGTAGGCTTCTGCTAGGTGTATTTGTAAGGCTCTACAAAAAATAGACAAGCTCAGCAAGAGCTGAATGGTTTGCAAACAGACTTGAAAGGGCATATAGTGAGCCCTGAAATGCTGGGCTTTGCTGGACAGGAAAATAAAATTGTTTCTCATTTCTAGCCTTGCCAGTCAGTAAAACATCATCAAATTGAGGTATAACCTGGGGGCAAAAATCAAACCATGTATATAATATGTACATGTCTACCATAATGTCTGACACCCAGGAGACTTATAATAAATTTAAGATCTTCCCTTATAACAGGACTCATGTCATGTAGTAGAATATTACATATCAGTTAAAATTAATGAACTAGATCCTAAATGTATCAACACGGATAAAATTCAAAAATATAATGCTGAGTGACAAAAGTAAACTACAAAACAAATTCTAAACTATGATATTTATTAAAATTTTAAAACATAAACTTGGTGTATGTTGCTTATGGATACACACACGTAAAAATGTGTGTGTAAAAAGGTATACATTCGCACACACCAACTTCAGAATAGTAGTTAACTCTAACATAAAAAGGAAGAGAAAGGATGGGGCTTTAGCTGTACCTATAACATTTTATTCCTTTACAAAAATACCGTATGAAAAAAATTTGGCAAAATGTTAATACTGTTAAATATAGGAGGTGGGTTCATGGGTATCATTGAAACTGGTTTACTTTTCTGTGTTTTTGAAATATTCATAATTAAAACTAAAAACAATACTAAATGGAAAGGAACAAAAAGCATTCCTTTTAATACACAGCTTCAGACTAGGGGGTGAAAAATAATATATTTAAATATTAAATTATGCATTTTGCTACTTGGGAAAAAAAAGAGAGCCAAGCTCATCGCCTTGGTTAGGAAACTAGTTTGGCTACTATAATAGAGGCCACCAGAAGAGGGAATAAAAAAGACAGAAGTGCATTTCCCTCACGTGTCCCAATCTGCGTGTGAGCAGCCCTGGTTGACCTGGTGGCAGAGTGGCTTCAAGGACCCAGGCTCTTGCCTTCTTGCCGTCTTTGCCTTCCTTAGCACACGCTAGTCTAAGGTGGCTATTCCAGCAGCCAACAGGAAGAAGAGAAGGGAAGAAAAAGATCCCCTCTCTTCTTTTTAAGGACATACATTGCTTCTGCTCACATCCCATGAGCCAAGGCCTCATCAGTGGCCGCACCCAACCACACGGGCCTGTGGTCTGCAGCTGGGCAGCCGGCTTAGCAGCGACTGACGTGTGTCTCTTCTTCTCCTTCCAGGGCCGGGCCGGCGGATCCCGCAGCCTACCTGACCGCAGCCGCTCGCGGGCTCTACACGGAAAGGGAGCTTCCGTATTACCCGGGGGCTCATCCCGTGCATCCTCCCAAGGGGAGCTACCCGCGCCCCCCGGATCTGAGGGTGGCAGATCTCCGGTATCCTCAGTACTACCCACCCCCGCCAGCCCCCCAGCACAAAGGACCCTTCCGACAAGATGTCCCACCTTCCCCTCCTCAGCACCAAAGAGTGCCGGCCTATCAGGAATCGGGCAGACCAGGGCCCCGAGGCGGCAGCCCCGACCGGTACCCCTACCGACCCCAGGACCCCCGGCAGAAGAACCCCATGACTGCGGCCGTATAGCCGAGCGCCGCGGGGCCAGCCCAGCCCAGAAAGGAAGACGCCGAACGCCACCTTTGCCCTTTCTAGACCTCCACGCCTTCTACCTGTTAAGAACTCTCCATGGTACAAATTAGCTTTTTCCCACTGAGGCTGCAACACTTGACTGCTAATCAGTGGGAAAAAGAAAGGGCAGGGGATTTGGGGGGTAAAAAATCAGAAGGAAGAGGAAGAACGGGGCCACAGAAACCACACTACCTGATATTCGAAAGGCTTTCAGAGTTTTTCAACTCAGTGAGAGCGGCCACTGAACACGCAGCCAGCGGCGGAGCTGGACTACACAGTGCCTGCCGGCTAGAGAACCGCTCCGGTGTGCGCACGCGCACACTCACCCCCGCAGAGGTGGCGGTACAGAGGGGGCTCTGCCGGGCGGCAGCCCCATTCAAGGCTCAGCCTCAGCTGCTTATTAGGGCTGCTAAGTCAGAGGAGCGGCAGAGTAGACAGACTGCGATGTAGGCATCTTACGTGAGTATAGGGTTTTGGTATTTTTTTAGTATTGAGAAAAAAACAACAGCAAACGTGACTAGTGATCTCCTTGAAATTTTTTATACCCAAAGGAAGACTGCATTTCCTTATTTGGAGAATTTCTCAGGTTCCTGATACCAGCCACTCATTCGACGTAAACATTACACATTTCCTTGCTTTTGATATAAAAGTCAGTGCAATGTGAATGCAGTATTAGTGTCCTGGGAGAATGTGCAAAACTAGTCAGAGCTTCCAGAAGGAATATATCCTGAGGACCGAGGTGATCAAGTTAAGAGGGGTGAACCTCCCATGGTCCTCATCGTCCCTCCTCCAGAGTCCCAGGCATAGAGGTATCTGGTTTCAGAGTCAGCCCCAAATCTCCTGCCCGTAATTATTGTAACTGGGGCCTCTACTTTAAGGCTCCCAAGAGCTAAAGTGTACTTAGGAAAAATAGAGCCCACTGGTCAGGTCGCACAGGAAGCAGTGCCTTAGAGAAGCCAATTCCAGACTCGGTGCCAAACAGTACCCATCTGCATACAGGACAGTGAGCAGCTGACGGTGGCCTTTGGAAATGGATGGCCAGCAGGTAGTAGAAGGAAGTGAATGATCGTGTGTGTGTGTGTGTGTTTTCGAACACGTAATTACCAATATGGAGAATGGAAGATTAAAAATGCTTTCTGGAAAGTTTGATAAAGAAGGAAAAAAAATGGAGGGGAAGGGAAAAGAGGCATAAGACTAAATCATTCTATATCTGCTATATTTCATTAACAAGATTCAGGGCAAGGCCAAGGTCTCCAATTAGGAAAGGACAGTCTTAGGGCTTTGAAAAGCTAATACCCCACCCTCTAAGTAGAAAAAACTCATGACAATTTCTTTGGAGCTTTGCAGTTTTTTACAAGAATGAAACATCTGAAATTTACAACTCGACCCAAATGAGAATACTAGCAAAGGACTGAAAAACAGCAAACCTGAGCATCAGTTTGAATTGCTCAGTGACTCCTGAAATACGTTAAGTCTTTTCACATTCCTCTTTCATTCCCTCCCAAAAAAGTCTTGAGTTCAATATAGATATATTCTGACTGAGATTAGAATACCTCTAACTGACAGGGTTTAAAAATTATAGTATTATTAAATACATAGAGCATCCATCTAGCCCAGTTTAGTCTTATTTTTTTAATTTAAAATAGAGTTGTGTTACCAAAAATGATGCAACTGCTAGTTTTAGATGTAAATTGTGTTATTTACCGGACTTCAAGAAATATCATTTTCTAAACTACAGTTTACTATGACCCTCTTGAGAATACACTATCAAGTTGGTTTTTGTCCTCTGTATCTCTCTTAAGTCAGGCACCTTTAGGTTGTTTGCAATTTGTTTAAAGAAGTTGAGGATTTTAGGCCCTGCTCACCTGAAAGGAGTGCAGGTGAGCCGTAGGGTTTCTCTGCCAACATGCTGCATGCTACCTTCCCTTCAAGCTAAATAAACTTCAAAGAAGAATATGAGAAGATGAGGGAAACGCAACTTGTTTTGAAGCATTAAAAATCAGCTCTTCAGTATGTTCCATATTTTAACCAAATTACTGTAGATTTCTAAACATAACCAAGCCAGAAGGCCCCTTCTGGATCAGGCTAGACCACTTGAGGAGTGGCCAGGGTGGTGGTGTAGAACTCTGTGCTTTGGAGGGGCAGCCCTTGCAGAAAGAATGCCCGTGTCTTCACCTGCAGTGTTGCCATCTCACGGAAACGATGCCTCCTGCACACGGGCTCACAATGAGCGGCTCCAAAGCATGGTTTTGTGTTGTATACACGGTCAATAACATAGTTGCTAATCCTGAAGACCAGCCAGTGATGTGAAGGCACTATTGAAAGTGAACAAGAAATAGATTATAGCAGTTTTCTTTTCTTCCTTGGAATATAACTCACGCTCCATTTGATCCTGCCCTAAAGAAGCGAACATTGCATTTGTGACAGCGGCTCCATCAAGCCAAGCAACAATTAATAACAGCTCCAGTGTAAGCTTTATAAATGCCTGTGTACTAACCCTCCAGTTGTCACCACCCAGAGGTTACAGGTCTTTCTCAGTATTTAGAACAGGTCGTTTAGAGTATTTAGAAGACCAGGATATAATCAATAGATGCCAGGAGCAGGAAATCATTCCCTGCTTATTTATGGCCCTGGGGAAACTCAATCAGGTGTCTCCTTATAGCTCACAACTCTAATAGCCCCCCTGGAACAGAGAGACACATTGAGCTATTATACAAACCCAATCGACATACACCCACCCGGCTGCAGATCTGACTGCTGAGTCATTTGGGCCTGGAGATGAGGTTTGGCTTCAAGTCATTAGATATTTTAAGGAGCCCTGTTTTTCTCCTGTTTTGCAATAGAGGTGAAAGAGCAGACCATTGAAAACTTTTAGATGCAGGAGAATTCAGTCCTCTGCAAGGGAGAGAAACACAACATCTCATTAATCCATTTTGTCGTTGAGCTGTGGCATTATCACTCTTGGTCTAGTATTGTTTCTGCATAATACCAAATCAGTGGATGAAAGGCAAGCTCAAAAACAACTCTTAAATCATAATTTAGTAGCAAGCAGAAATTGGGAAAAAAATTATTCTGAAGCTCTTCATCCTTAGATTTTTAGGTATACGTGTGTTGACCCCCAAGGATAGCATGGAGCAAAAATCTTATAATCAAGAGCATGGTAGGGACCCACAGACCAACTGTCACCCATGGAGGAAGCCCTGTGCACATCTCCTGACAGATTGGAGGCCTCACTGTAGCTGTATAGTTTACTGTCAACTAAATAAAATTAAAACATGAGTCATTATCCCTTCCAAGGATTCATGAAATTTTTGAACTAAAGCTATCTTTTGAAGGAAATCCACCTAACAACTTTAGGAGGATCATGAAGCTCATTTCTCTTTTCCCCTGGTATATGTAGAGATCAAGCCTATAAAAAATATTTATTTCCCAGCCTGTAACTGAATCATTCATTTTTGTTGGAGGAACATTGTAGCATTTCAGGAGGGTAGAGAGATCTGGAGAGTTTGGTATGTAATGGGTGTCTGTGCAATTCCCATCAGCATTAAAGTCTGAAATCCACAATGAATGGCCTTCAAATTGATGCTAAATTGGGTAGACACCCTACTGCTTCCTGAGTCCATGAGCAACAGAAAGTCTGGATTTAGTGCAATTAGGCAGGAGGGAGTTGGATTCAGAAACAGCTACACTAGTATTTCTCTGTATTCCCAGTTCGTGTCGACTTAGGTAGAAACGATGCCACAGGGAGACCAGAAAGAGGGGTCTCCATAAGATATTCCTACAAAGTCACCTTTCTGATAACAAAAAGGAAAGAAGTTAGATATCTAAAATAAGCCTAGAATCTCACATGCAGTTATAACTTCTAAGTGAAACCCTTTCTCCCTCATGTCCTTAAATAGTCACAGAATCTCACACAAGCTGACTTTTAAAGACAGGCTCGGCTACCAAGCTGGGAGTGGGAAGTGAATCAACCCCAAAGACTCTTCTAGCCTGTCTCCCGACTCTTCCAGAAAGTGTTCTCCTGTTCCATCTGCAGTGCTGTTTACTACTGGAACATAAAACAAAACCTGTTGTTTTTACCATCACTTTTTCTAGTGTTTCCTGTGCTTTTATGATACCAAGTCTGTTCATAAGTTCTGAAGATAAATTATGTGAAATCATATTTTGGCATATGGGGGTGGAGAATGAATTCTTTACAAACTTTATAAGATGATCTCATTTGTACCACAGAAAACATTTTGGATGTTATATATGAGTATATAAATTTTTCTTGTTTTATTTTGCATTAAAATAAAAGCTTTATTGAGTCAGTAAGACATCAGAGTCTTGGTTTTTACCCACCACAGGGTTGTTTTAGGATCTGATAAATTAATAGATGGGACTGGGCCTGCTCACCCTTGAATAGCAACATTCAAAAACAGCGATAGGGCAAAGGACGGAAGCAGAGAGCATCAGTTGCATGCCAGGCTAGAAGCAGATGCTGAGACGGAGATTCTCAAACAGGATGTTTATTAGTGTGCACGTGGGTCCATACCTAAGAAGGGGAAGCCACGCTGCAGTGCACTCGTGACTGAGGCCTCAGCCAACCCCACAGAACTGTTGAACTCTGGAGCAACAACGGCCCTTCAGACTTATCCCAAGTTGGACGACAAAGCTGGGCCTTTACGCCACTGTGGTGATCAGTGGATATGGGCTACGTCTGGGAAGAGGAAAGACCTAGAGTCTGGCAGTTTTCTTCAGTTGAGGCAATCGCCAAAGAGGACTGACGGCTGGGGACCATCATTGGGAGGTACAGCAGCTGGGAAAATAGTCCATTTTTTTTTATGTATTATTATTTTTACTTTTTTTTTTTTTTTGAGACAGGGTCTCACTCTGTTGCCTGGGCTAGTGCCATGGTGTCAGCCTAGCTCACGGCAACCTCAAACTCCTGGGCTCAAGCGATCCTCCTGCCTCAGCCT